TGCAATTGTCATTTTAACACTCTGGTGCTTCAGTAAAGGAAGCATTTAGTAATCCAGGAATTGCTTCCAGGTGAAACACCTGATCACATGACCTAGGAAGACCTGTGGGCCCAGGTAGATGAGATTTTTCTATATACTATGTAAAACTAATATTCCCAGATGCCATACATTGATTTTTTAATTTTTATTTTAAAGAGGGTAAAATTAAACACAACAAAACATAATATAAGAAAGCAATGTAAGAGACACATATTTCAAAGCAAGACAACTGGAGATCTTCACTATCTATCATATTGTCTCTTGTTTTCTTCCAAATAGTTGTCCATATCTTCATATACAATGAATTCATACAAAACAATATAGTATAAAATTGATGCAAACAGGATGATGAAGGCATTTTAGCAATTCAAGGAAATCATCACAAGAGCATACAATTAGAAGCTGTTAGAAAAAAAGAAACAGATCACCCATAAAGAGAAAACCGATCAAAATCATGGCAGCCTTCTGAAGGAAGGAAATCAACAATGGCTGTCACAGTGTCTCTCATTCTCTTCAGATTAGCTGTCCATACCTTCACATATGTTGAAATTAAACAAAACAAAATGGGCTAAATTAACCCTAAACAAAGAATAGTAGTATTTCCTGATTTCACATCATGAAACTATGGAATCAGCACTGGGAATCATAGTGTCTCTCTTTCTTCAAAGTAGTTGTTCATTGCAACATGCATTGTATAATCAGTTCTCATACTCGTTTAGAAATTCTATGCATGTATTAGTCTCTACATGTATATCTATCCTTTCTGTATTAGAGGGAAAAACAGAGCGAAGCAAGTTGAAACAAAACAAATTCCTAGAAAAAACATGAAACAAAAAATTCATATAATACCTCAATACAAGGTGACCTACAATGGTTACTATGATATCTCTTGTTATCTTCAGTATAATTGTCTAGATCATCAGGCATAGTACAATTGAACATAGCAGTACATAACAATATTAATAAAAACAAAACATAGAAGACATAATAAGACTTTAAAAGCAGTTAATATTCAAACCAGAGTGGGTATCCTAGTGAATCTTGTCATCTTCAGTGTAGCTGCCTATACTCTCAGACTTGGTAGGATCAATCATAGCAGATTCAAATAAAATCAATTTATAAGCAGTGATCTAACAAATCATATTCAAATAAGATCAGTCATAAGACAGCATAAGTTATACAGGACTTCAGATTAGGTTAATAGACAATTAAGGAAGGTTACCATAATATATCCTGCTATTTTGAGGACTGCTGTTGGTGTCCTCAAATCTAGTACAAGTAGACAAACTGGAACAGAATATAAGCAAACTAAACAGAGTGGTGAGAATAATGTGGATTTTAAATCTTGATACACTATTAACAATATCCTCTGCTTTCCTTTTTAAGACAGTTCCTCCCCTTTCACTTTCACAGGATGTACATTTTGGGTCCCACTAACTCCTTTAGTTTTAGATTGAGGGAGGAACCTGCTACTTACCTAAGGGGTAACCTTTTTACCCCTGGGCTTCATCTTAAATTTTATTCCTTTACCTACGAAAGCCTCGATGTTTTCCTTTGTTTTGGCTGAGTAGTTCTCTACTACACAAAAGTAGCATGTCTTTCCAGTCTATCTGCAGGTACTGGACAAGTTGCCCCTATTGCTGTCTGGTTCCCTGTCACATAGAGCATTGTTTTCTCACTTTTGACTTTTGGTCCATAAACCTTCTTTCAGATTAATAATATTTCCTATACAGACCATCTCATTGGACCCTATCTCTTGATCTACTCTGTCTGTGTTACTTTTTGGTAGTGTATCAAGGCCATCTGTGTTAAAGATTATAGCCAACCTTCTCTGCCTCATTTCTGTTATTCTATTTTTCTACCATTGGTTGTCTGATTTTCTCCTTCATTCCACTATCTTCCTCATTCATTGAGGACTCTCTCCCACTGTTCCTGAAGTCTGATGTTTTTTCTCTCTCTCTAAAATGCCCTTCTGTTTTTTTCATAGCATTAGATTTCCCCCAGTTCCTCTTTGTCATAGAAGCATCATGTTTCTCCATTAATTTTCAGAGAGAGTTTTGCCAGTTACATCAATCTGTGTTGATATTTTCTTTCAGGGCTTGGAATACTTTGCTCCAATCTCTTCTTGATTTCATGGTTTGTGTTTAGAAAGCTGACATGATTTTGATGGGTTTTTCTTTAGTTGATCTGTTTCTTTTTTCTGACAGCTTCTAATACTATGTTCTTGTGATGAATTTCTGGGATCTTGATTATTATATGTCTGGGTGTAGCTCTGTTTCGGTTGTAGGTGGCTGGAGTTCTTTATGCCTCTTACATCTGAATACCATTTCCTTTTCCTATGCTTGGGAAGTTTTCCTTAATTATTTCCGTGAATAACCTTTGTATTTCCTTTGTGTTTATCCCTGCTTCTTTACTCTCATTTTTTATTCTTAAGTTATAGATCCTCTTGTCATCTTCTAGCCTTTGTATTGTTACTGTCTGTTTCCTTGTTAAGAGATCTGTCCATTCATGATCACACATTGCAAAACCTATCTTCAAGTTTTTGTCAACCTATCTCTAGTTTCTTTTAGGCTATTTAGCCAGCTTTCAATGGAGTTTTTAATTTCCTGGTAATCTCTTTGAATCTGTTTCATTTATTCAAGATTTTTTTTATGTTCTTCTTCAAATGGTTCTCTCTTTTTTTGCATCCCTCCCTTCTCCTATCTGTGTCTTCTTGATAGGTGCTTAGCATTTCTTTTATTAATCTTCTTATGTCTTGCTTTACTTGTATTAATATTTCAGTTTTGAGATCATCTATAATGTCTTACTTCTTTATGTCAGTGATACTTCTTTGTCTATGATACTTCTTTATGTCAGTGATACTGTGTCTGATATTGTATATTTGCTGCCCTCAATCACTTCTGTGTTTATCTCTCCTGGACTGATATTCTCTGGTATAGGGGCTGGGATTCTTTTCTTATTTCTTTCTCTTGTCATGTTTCTGGTTTCTTCCATACAGGTATATAATGGAGGTCCCAGCCCTTTTCCTTGTTGGTTATGGTTCTTCTGAAGTATGCTGGTTAGGGATTTCTGTCCTCTACATCTTGATTTTGGTCATTGAAGTACAAACAGGGGCAATGTAGGCTGGCCTTTCCCCTCCAAGCCAGACAACCAGCATGGACCTTCACCATGTTAGTGTGTGCTGGGCAGATAGAACCTGTTCAGAGTAACCTCAGGGACCATTTTATCCCTGCCTATTGGGTCCTGGTCAGAGGTGTGACCCATCCTAAGCAGATCCCACAAACTTTCTCTGGGCAGGGGGCAACCAACTGAAGTCACTGCCATTCTTTGTTCAGCCCCATCCTGCCCACTATCAATATGTTGTCGAGTTGATCGCCCATTATCACCCATCATGATCACCCATCATCACATGAGGGGGTCAAATTCTGAGCACTCAGTGCAAGTGGGTTAGTGAAAGTCTCCACACCAGCTCTGTTCTCCACTGGGCTCACCAACCCTCAATTTCAATGTGACTGGGGCTCCCACAGCAAAAGCACCCAACTGTGAATTTGACCAGCTCCAATGGGAGCGCGGGACCTCAAGTCTGACCGGCTCCTTTCCCTTTAGTTTCTACCTAGATTGAAAGGATCCATTTCCCTCCCTCTGGTCTTCTCCAAGATGTTTGATATCAGCATCTGAGCTGTTTCTCTCAGGAAGCCTCCCTATTTCACTGCTTACTGACCCATAATCTTTACCTCCTCCAGATTCCATATTTTATAGCCTTGTAATTTCATTTTTATGTGCCTGCACATTATTAATTTAGATAAGGCAGGTTTATATATGGTTGTAATGTTTCTTACTTGAAAACAACTTTTCTTATGAGTCTACATTTTCAACACAATTATCAGATGTCTTTGTAATAAGCAGAAGCTTAGAACACTTAAATGAGCATTAACACATTAACTGAAGAAGTACACTGAAGCATTTGACCATTATTTTCATGATTATTTTTGCCTTACTGGGAAAGAAAAGTTCTCAAAATCAATAGGCAAATAGCCTAGCACTGATATGCATCCCTAGCTTTTTGAAATATATTTAAGTGAATCAGCATAAATATCTGTGAATACTGACTCATATAATGATATATGGATATTTCAAATAAATATTCTATGTTAAACATGACCAGCAGTATAGGATGTGTGCTCATACTATAAAAGTTGAAATAGGAAAGTTAATGTAAAGCACCCTGAGGAGCTTCCTGGAGATGGGATGCAGGAGGGAAGCAGGAGAGGGAAGGATAGCAGAGGAGCCTCAGGACAAACTGAGGATGACACATGAGTTCACTTCTGTGATTGTGTGTGGTTGTACAAGTGTTCCTGTGATTTAATACTTCTCAGGTGCACACTTTTTTCCATGGGAAGTTCATGTGTTATGTCTGATGAAGCTATTACAGACACACAAAATCTCAAAACAGGCAACGAATGAGAGAGTTCATAAGAGGCGAATATATGAGACACAGCAGCAGGCATACACATGGACAAAGGTTTTGTTTTCGCTCAGCACACAGCAGAATGAAGCTAGACACACCTGTCCTCCCTGTAGGAAGAGGGGAAAAGAGTCATCCCAGGTGAGTGAGCTCTGTTCTGGACCTGGAACAGGTAATAGTTTGTTCACAGTTTAGGGGAGCACAGGCCCAGACAGTGAGGAGGACATTTACAGCACAGCAGCAGCTCTCCTGTAGGAAAGGAAAATGTTCCAAACAATTTGATAATTTTATGCATTTCCAAAACAGGAAAACAAAAATATGCAAGTTATGGGTACACGAAAAATAAAAATAGACAAAGAGATAAAGACAAGGAATCATCTCTTAATTAGTTTTTATGTTGTCTGGAAAGACATCATTGCTACTAACCCTTCTCAGCACACTAACCTCAGATGTGAGCTCTGAGTTTTTCATGCCCAGAGCTATCTACAAAAGAGTAGGCTATGCAAATAGGGTGCTTATGAAAACCAGCGCAGCCCTCACACTGCAGCTCTGCAGAGGAGCCCAGCTCTGAATGCCTAGCTGTTCACACTCAGTGATCAGAACTGAGTACAGACGACTTACTATGGAGTTTGGGCTGAGTTGGGTGTTCCTGTTTGCACTTCTGAAAGGTAAATTATTGAGAACAAAGAATATGAAATGGGAAAGTGGATGAGACTGGGATAAACAGCAGACATGTATGACAGTTTCCTGAACAGCATGTTCTTGTGTTTGCAGGTGTCCAGACTGAGGAGCAGCTGGTGGAGTCTGGGGGAGGCTTGGTGCAGCCTGGGGGGTCCCTGAAACTCTCCTGTGTGGCCTCAGGATTCACCTTCAGTAACTACTGGATGAGCTGGATCCGTCAGGCTCCAGGAAAAGGGCTGGAGTGGCTCACATACATTAACCCTGATGGTGGTAGCACATACTATGCAGACTCCGTGAAGGGCCGATTCACCATCTCCAGAGACAACAGCAAGAACATGCTGTATCTGCAAATGAGCAGTCTGAAACCCGAGGACACCGCTGTGTATTACTGTGCAAGAGACACAATGAGGGAATATCAGTGTGAGCCCATACACAAACCGCCCTGCAAGGGTGCTCATGCACAGCAGAGGTCACTGCAGTTCTTCAAGAACCAGGCAGGGCCCCCGGAGCAGGTGCAGAAAAGGAAGCAGAGGAGGGAGGGCTTCCTGGGGGCCTCTGGGGTTCCCTTCTGTATTAACATCTTAGATCCTGAGGCGACCCACAAGGGAGTACCCAAGTTCAAGGGAAAATTCTCTGTTAAAGGCAATCGCATGATCACATAAGTACTGATTGTTTTTGTTTTCTGTGTTTGAATTTTTCTCCTGGGTAAACAAAACTTGCAACCATCTCAAACTAACTTAGGCATTTGGTGAAGTTAATTTTCTATTCAGTGTCATACCCTCATCATCTAAAAGTGGATCTGCTGGTTTAGTATGAGTGATGAGGAGCTATCTCACACAGTAATAAATGCTTCAGATTAGGAAATTAAATTCTTCCCGTCCCTGTCCATGAGGTCTGAGAACTCACAGCTCCCTCCTCTCATTGGCCACCTCGGGAGACTTGGCCCCAAGGGTCAGCCCCAACACAGTGAGGAGCTCTGAGCTCAGGGAAGGAGAAAGAGTGGCAGCATGACTGGACTAAGGGCAGTGGCTATGGACCTTGATGTGCTCTTTCCAGACAAGAGGGCTGAGTAGGACTTGGTCCTGTGACTTTTTGCACCTTAAAAATTAAAAAATATATAAAATATAGCCATCAATATTCTCAATTTTTCTCACACACGCCTTTCTTTTTCTGTTTTTTTTTATTTTGTTTTTATTTTGAAGAAAGAAAATAGAATAGTAAAGTAAAATCAAGCAGTGATGGAACAATAGGAAAATCACCATCCTTACTATATTGCAAAATCTCATCCTCTAATTTGTTGCTCAAGCTCCTGGGTCCAGGCCTGCAAAGTCAATCAAACAATTTAATGCCATGTCACTGACTTACTTCCGTTAGTAATATCTCAGCCTGCTCTGTATCCCATTGCTTATGTGTGTGTTACTGAAGGACAGGAAGGGGAGGCTGCATGTCTTCCTTGCTGCTTCTCCCTGGCTGGCAAGGCCTCAGTCAGTATGGGGACTGCACTGATTCCTGCTGTTTTTCTCATCTGACCCGCCTACCACCCCTGACTCTCTTATTCTTGCTGGGTTGCTGAATTAACTCTCTCTCTCCATGGGTTTCCACCAGCAGGTCTGATCCTTCCTGTGTCCGTGGACACCACCTCTGTCCTCCTGCTTTTCTCCGTGTTGCTGAAGCCCAGGTTCTGGACAGCAGATGAGGATTGGCTTTTCCTCTACTGCTCACCACTCCTCTGTTCTTCTATAGGTGTCATCTCTTTTTTACCCATCTCTCAGTTTTCAGTCTATCAGGAAAACAATGGAGAATTGATGAGATGAAACCCTCTATTCTCACAGGGTTCACGGTTTTTCCTAAATGGATTCCCATGATTCTGCCTTGATGCATTTTATTTTATTTCACTTAATTCTGCATTTGACAGTCATCCGTGTATTTGTAAATTTTTCTAAAACAATCAAATATCTTTAGTAATGTCTCTTTTATCATTACAGTTTTCTGTGACCAGATATATAGTGAAAATCAGGAAATCACTTGCATGCACATCCATGGCTCCTGAAGGCAGAGTGGAGCTGACATTCTCACACACAGTCCCCATGTCTCAGATGTGACCAAGGACCTCACACTCATCGACAAAGGCTAAAGTACCTCCACCTCCTCACCCTGCTCTACTCCTCATCTGGTCCATCATTCTCACTGATATGTCCTGTGTTTAAGGACCAAAAATTCGTGTTCTTGGTGTGATGTCTCAGAGGCACCTGTTGTTTCCCGCCCAGGAAATGAACATCTTTGAGATGTCCAGAGACATAATCTGATCTTATACATTGCACATTCTGAATTATGACTTCCTGAAGATCCCTGAAAATATGAAATATTTTATAGGTTTTCTTCTTTTCATTCCTTCTCTGTTACTGATATTTCAGTCATGATTTTACAGATATCATTTTTGAATTGAGACCTTAGAAGCCCACCTGAGGTAAGAGTGAAAATTTAGCATTATTGTTGTAACTTGCATTTCAAAGAAAAGTAGTGAATGGAACTGGAAGGAATGTGGTGCTCCTGAGTGTTCATCTCACCTCACAACTCTGCTGAGCTCGATTTAGCAACACCACCACTCTTCTGTGTCACTGTGTCTTCACATGCTTAATCTGACATTTACAAAGAGCCTCATTTGTTCTCAGACATGTTTCAAAAAGTTCACCTCCCACCTAGGTTTATACTCTTGTATCATCATGGAATGGAAAATGTATCAGTGAGCCATCTTGACTTCCTAAGCATGGAATCCATCACCATCTTAGTCTCTGATTGTCAACTTACACTTCAGTGATACCTTCTAGGTAGGTTGCTCTTCCTCTTGATCTGTCAGTGTCTGTTAATTGTTGAATCTTCCCATCAGACCTGTAACATGATATAGAGTACAGGCAATGCTTGTCCATAACAAAACCCACAAAGCACTTTCCTAACCTTACTGACCAAATCCTCACTGAACTTCCAAGGCTTTGGCAAGTCCTGTGACCCCTCTCCACCACAAGAGCTTATGCATAACTGAACCTCTATTCTCTCTATGAAATATGTGTCAGTCTTCCTACAAATCCATCAGTGTCATGTAATTCAGAACAGAGACCAGAACTGTGAATGGAGGAGTAACTCTAAGAGTGACCCAGAGCAAGGAGGTAGAGGGGTCCAGGATCAAAGATCAGAACTAGTGACCATCCAGAGAGTAGCAGACTCACCTACTTCTCAATGTCAGGGTCAGTGCTCTCCTGCTAGGACTCAGAACAGCTCTGTCCTCTTGTCCATATCCTACCCTGTGGGTCCAGGTGCAGCCTGATAATCTATTTCTCTTTACTACTGTGGACTCGACTGTTCCCTGCATTCAGGCCACCTGATTATGAGTAGATTTAAGGAGAGAGAGAAAAAGGGTAGAAAATCACATTTTGTTATCTAACTAATCATAATGAATGCAATCATTCAATATGGACAGGGATTCATTCAATCCCTGGTACCGATAAATAATAATAATAATAATAAATGAAACAAAACTGCAAAAAAATGCTATTCAAGAAACTTAGCTAGAATCTTACATTAATTTTTGTTTGATACCTGTATCTTGCTTCTTTGTTGAGCAGGTTAATTTTTTCTCTTGTGGGTGCAGCTCATTTTGCTTTTCTTATGAGATTGTGCTCTAGATAATTTTTCATTCTCCTGGGTCAAATATAGGGTTCAAGACAGCATCAGTTATACCAACTCACAACAGTGTAACATAATATCATAGCAGACCAGATGTCATGTGGATCACAGGTGAGGGTTCCATGGGTCTTGCCCTTTTACAAAGTAGATAGATAACACTCATAGCAATGGTGATGATGTTGGACACTTGTGTCTCCCTGCTGAAGAGATCACATCCAGAGTGATCCCTGCATCCAAAATTCTTGCCCCTTCACACTGGAGGTCAGAGTGTGCAGTCCCCATTGTCAGGGCCTCCCAGTGAAGAGGGATGGAGCTGGGCTCTGCTCTCCAGCATGACTCACTCAGGAATGTTCAGCCCCACTTTCCTGACTCAGAGATGAATTGATAAGGATGTCACCTAACACAGGAATTCTTTAAGGAGATCTAATTAATGACATTGGTAGACTCCATCTGTCGGTGGTGACCTTAGAAAACCTGTACAGCATTTTCTATGGAACTGAGTGGTCAGCAATCATGAGAGACTTATTGCACTGTACTGGAAAACATTTCTGTGAATCCTAAATACATCAATAGCAAGCAAGATCTGCACACTTCTGGGTGAAAAAATATAGGAAAGTCATATCAACTTTTAATTATAGGGACATTATCACCATGAGTATAGTGTTTATAATACATAATTGTTCAAAAAGGGAAAACTGTTATCAGGTGAGCATTTGGAATTTAGCAATCACCTCCAGGAAACAAAAGGGAAAGGTGAACCTAGAAAGGAAATACCATCCAGCACCTACACAAGGTCATGTGGGGAAGGGACAGTTAGTACAGACAGCCTCCTTCCCTCCTGCAGCAAGGCTTCTCTGAGAGGGAGCACAGGACACACATTCTCATCCCCAATCTCTGCGGGCTTTAGTCAGTGGGATCTGGGTCATAGGATGTCTCAGAGCAAGCGGCAGGAGGACTTCTCCTGACAATGTTAATGGGAGTGAAGTGATCTCTCCAGCATGGATGAGAGATATCAGGGAGAGGATGAGGGGGGTGTGCTCATCTTTGTCCTGTGGAAGCAGCACCAGAGCCCGTGTGGGAGGATAAAGTCAGGATGGGAACAAGAAGGGAGCAGGCCTGAAGGAAGCTGGTATGGTGTCAGGAAGGAGTAGTCATGGCTCTGCTTCCTCCATTCACTGAAGGCAGAGTCCTGCCTATCACAGATTTGAACACCACACGAGTGCAGGGGAGGAGAATCCTTTCTGCAGCATGAGCACCAGAGACACCCTGGCCTATGCCTCACATCATTAAGGAAAAGGGCTACTCTCATGCAAATTTGTCTCCCAAATCTGGACTCAAATTCCAGTCTTGGGCTGATGGAGATGACAATTCCTTCCTCAGACAACTCTAAGATCTCTGGAGACAGCGAAGGTATGGCCTGGAATATGAAATTGCTGCATCCTCTTTTGTATCTGGTGACAGGTCTGCATGGTGAGTGTCCTCAACATCAGACACAGGACTATGGGAGGAGTAGGAAAGCAAGTGGCTGATTGGAACTTTACCCCTGTTTCCAGATGTCCTGTCCCAGATGCAACTGCAGGAGTCTGGACCTGGCCTGATGAAGCTCTTGCAGACTCAGTCCTTCACCTGCATGGTCTCTGGATTCTTCATCACAACCAGTGGTTATGACTGGAGCTGGGTCCATCAGCCTGCAGGAAAATGCCTGGAGTGCATAAGGTACATTTATTCCAGTGGTGGCACTAATTACAGCCCTTCCCTAAAGAGCTGCATCACCATCTACAGAGAAACAGGCAAGAACTAGTTCTCTCTGCAGCTAAACCCTGTCACTGCCAAGGACACAACCACCTACTACTGTGCAAGACAGTGGGTTGGGTGGAGTTTCCAGCAAGCAGGCAGGTGCACACTAGCACCAGAACCCAGCCTATTTGGGACTCCTGCACCTCACCATCTGTGTGCAGAGGAAGCGCTGGGCAGATCTGGG